CCTATTGACGAAGGAGGGGGCAGCAATGCATACGAAGCTTCGACATGTGGACATTAACCGATGCTGGATGAAACAAGAAGTTTGTGAAGGCCGAGTCAATGTGGACTGGGTTCCCACTGCAGCTATGCCAGCAGATGGGCTCACCAAGGTGCTACCAAAGCAGAAGCAACAAGTGTTTCGGGAGCTGCTTGGTATGCGTGAAATTCGCGACAGAATCATCCCAGAAAGTGATGGAAGAAGCAGTTCTTGAAGCTCTGAATAGCTTCAAAAACTGGGGGGGGGGGTGTCGAGATGTGTGGTGCCACCCTGAGACAGGAACAAATGCCTCAATGGCGTCATTCTGAGACAGATAAACTACATGTGATGTTTAGTCAGCATTGTCCGCACAGATTGCTTAAAAAGGCGCGGACCTTGTCATTATTTAGAAGAAATTCAGAGTATTTTTTCATACCATTTCAGTGTTCTACAATCTCTTTCAAATTTCTTAATTACTAGGTCTTAAACCCCGCCTTTGAGATCTCAAATCTGAAAGGCGGGGTTTTAGACCTAGTAATTAAGAAATTGAATGTTTAGTGTAGGATTCTTATGAAAAATGATATTCCTAGAGCGCTTAATTTTCTTAGTTCGCATATTATTTAGTATTTAGTTATCCCCCTCGTCGTAAGCGATTAAATGAACACATAGTTAGCTTATCACGAAGGAGAGGGACATGCTTAAGATTCAAGAGGCTCAGAGCGTACCACAAAATGAAGAAATATGAGACAAAAAGAAGCTGTTCTGATCCACACGGTAGGGCGAACCACAGTGAATTGATGCTTATTTTCCTGACCAGACAGCAGTCCATGGGTGCAATGGATATCAAACCCTATAAAGGTTGCTGTCTATTTCTATTGGATGGAAATAATCCACAATGAGGTCTCTGATTGGCTTAAAGCTTTAGGCGACCAGCGTGAAGCATGCATATCCTATGGGGCTCGACCTCCCTTGGTCACAACATTATCGAGCAAGACTTGGAGTTGAAGGTGCTTTATGAACCAATTGAATCCTCATAGATCGTGTATGGTAAATCAGCAATATTTAAGCAGCCTTGTAATATAAGTAAAGATAAAATCAGTGGCATCAGATGATTCTAGCATCTTCGATACAATGTGTGCCTTTACTAGATCGAGCCAACAGTGGGCCGTTTCGATATCACGGTACACTAGCCCATACCGAACAATATTCAACCGGCAATATGTGCCTGCCAATCACAGGTCTCATTTCTTTGGCCAAAACAGTAATGTTACAAGCTATACTCCGGCCATCGATGATCCCACCATCGGCAAGGATATTTCACTGCTAAGGGGGGGTTTCTTTCCGATCCCTTTCTCACAGGCGTGCTGGTTTGTGCGTTTCACTTTAAATCATCATCGCTTAGAATTGAGGACCGACAATGAATAGCGGGCCAAGTCGCAATGAGCGGAAGGCCATCTCTTGGTCACTCTTCGCAGTCTGGACCCCTTCCATCTGTCCCTCAAAATGATAAGGATCCTCTCACACCAGAGCTTGAGAGTAGAGAGGCCTCGCCTTTGACCCCACTCGAGTCGACATCGACTGCCTTCGGTGCATACTCTCCCTGGAGCACATCTCAAGTCATCAGGGAACAGCCAATGAACCCCAAAGTGGCCATTCCCCGACTTGACCTTCCACCTGCAAGCAATAACAGCAATAACGGTCGAGTTAGTCGAGCATGCCACAATTGTCGGAAACAGAAGAACAAGTGTTCTGGTCATCGTCCTTCTTGCCTCCGGTGTCAGGAGGCCAACGTTCTTTGCGTCTACGTCGACGGGAAACGAGAGAGAAATGCGAGGTCTGTGATGTTCCTAGGTGTCATCGCCCAAAATATTTACCCAAGGACTTAGACAACTTACAGTTATAACGAGACAACTCCAACACTACGAATCTCTTGTGCGCGAGATTTATCCCAAATTCGACGCCGAACTGACCAAAGTCGCCGATCAAGCTCTCCAAAAAGTGAGTGAAGATGTCATGGTCCGGCCATTCAAAATTAGGCCTCTTTTGACAGACCTAACAACCCACAGATATCTAGCCTTTCCCTGTCATCGCCGACCGTTGCCAAAGTACCAGATGAGACAGACTCGGCAAACCAAGCGCCTTCCTACGTGGATCACACCGTGGAGGACTTTAATGGAGATATTACAATGCAAGCTATTGGTTTTGTAGGAGAACATTCGGCAACGGCATGGCTATACAGGCTTAAGTGCTTGATCGTCGGCCAGACCAGCTCTGATCTGGACGTCCAGTTCGAGGAATCAGCCCGTCCATCAATTTCTTCCTGTGCATTCTATATGGATGATACCGGAATCCCGCCAATAAACGACCTAGATATCTTCGCATATCCCTCACAAGCGGTCGCCGATGAACTTGTGGACAGATACTTTCAAGTTGCGCACGCCTCCTTCCCCATCGTCGGCAAAGAAATTTTTCTCAGCCAGTGTCGGTCATTCTATTCGAACTCAACAACACACCCTGGAAACAAATGGATGGCGCTATTAAGTATGGTATTTGCGATCGCTGCAAGACACTCTGGGCTTTCTGGAGATCATTCTCAGCTAGATCACAACATCCACATGGTGTATTTTTCCCGTGCCTGGCGATTACACACCATTGAGAGTGTGCTGTTGGAGAATCCCAACCTGCAGCAGACACAGGTAGAGGGGCTCATGTCACTGTACTTGCTCTCCGTAGGACAGGCCAATAGGTATGTCGAATACCGCGCGCCTTTACTTAGCCACTGATTTTGGTTTAGGGCTTGGAGAAAATGCGGTATCGCAATCCAGTCGGCGGTCGCGATGGGAATCCACCTTCGTAGCGAAAGTACCAGCATCACGCACGTGTCCAAGGAAACAAGATATCGGTTATGGTGGGCGCTGTACCTATTGGACATTTCGCTCTGTGTGGTGACTGGACGCATGCCCAGGGTGCAACAAGAACACTGCACCACCCCTTTGCCAGTGCCTTACAAGGAGGAAGACTTCCGGGACGAGCATGTTATGAGGCTTATTTTGGACATTCAATCCAGAGGCCGCCTCGTGGATTCTCTACTCTCCTTCAATCCCCTGACTGAACCGAACGACCCTTTAGCCCCTTCATCTTCTTCACAGTCCATGTCTCAATCGGCCTCAACCAGCCAGCAGCTCCAGGCTAACGTCGCATTGTACTTACTTTACTCCATTGATTTGGCAGCTGTGATGAGAGAAGCAATCGAGATGTTATATTCCCCCGAAGCGGGACGAAAATCACCGAATGACACCGAATTGGCCATGAGATCGCTCAACAGCGCCGCTGAGAACTGGTTCGCTCGCCTACCTGCGACGTATCGTTTTGCAGAAATCAGGGATGACCGAGCCTTTGTCCGTCAACGCACGAGTTTGGCTTTTCAATTTTATTCAACCAAACTTGTCATTTCGCAACCTGCTCTTCGTTCGCGTTTATCCGGTGAAGTCTGTTCCATTCATCTTGACACTCCGATGGCTTTAGTTTGCCTCAAAGCAGCAGGTCAAATGCTTGACCTTTAACCCAACGAACCAAATATCTCCTGGCTCCTGGGTTGCTCACCTTGGTGGTGTGCTCTCCATTACATCACACAAAGCACCATAGTGCTCATAACGCAGTTGCTCGCCCAGAATCAGCCGATGACCAGTAAAAGCGAGTCATTGGAAAGAGTCCAAAAGGCTTTACGATGGTTGAGTGAGTGTTCCACCAAAGATCCCTCTTTCGGCCGGGCTTGGAATAACTTGACGGAGCTCTTGTCATCCAAAAATCCAGAGGGCTTGTTATAAGATCTCTCGGTCGCTTGCCACGCCCTGGATTCCCTTGGGTCCCTTTTCCTTTGTTTGTCATCACATACACGACAAGTATCACTGGTTTTCCCTTCGATCACCCGTCTACCTTGGACATTTGGATATCTAAATAAGAATTAAAACCATATAGGTGCAGTGTGACGTCCTTTTTTCCTGGAAATTTTGCGCAATATGACACCATAGAGTGGATGTAAACCAGCCATGTCTGATTGATGTACTCGAGGGTACGCGTCACGGCCGTGACCCTTGGAACGACCCGCAAGACAACGTTCAAACACTGTCCACTCATATCCAACTCAAACATAGGGAGTGCGCAGTTTCAGAATCGATTGGCCCCAGCCCAAGAATACATCCACAAACATGTTGTGGTTGTTGCCACCTGGATGTTGTGAGTATGGAACCTTCGGGGCCCCGGGTTTCCTTTCAATGACGTCAATGTTCTTGGCTCAAGAGATATATAAAAGTCACATCACAGGCAGAATATCAAGACGATCACCCAGCAAAAACCCCAATAAACACTGTGTGAAAACGGGATAAGATGGCCCCAAAATACATTGTAAATTTCATCACTTTTTCTCCTATGAACCCTACTAACAAAGAAGGTAACCTTCCAAGACTCAGCCGCGACGGAGAAGATCAATTCCTACACACACCAGATCCACCAAGAAGGAGGCTCTGTTACAAACAGATTTCCGGATATGATTGCAAGAGGCTTTTCGTAAGTGCCTTTCCCACAAAGACCTTGGGATTTAACAGGGCATGTTTCTAATTTACGCTCTAGAGCATTTATAACAGACTCCGTTCTTCGTAGGCTTGAATCGGACTGTTGTGTTGCTCATATAACGCCCGACACTTCTTAAGCTCTCCTCTCCTCTCCTCTATCTGTGAAAGCTTAGCATTCTTTCTCTTCTTGCTATTGTATCTTGTGCACCTAATTACATGATTACATGATTTCCAACTGGTTAGTTACTAGGGCGACCTACTTGCTATCTGGAAGAACGTCTGTCGAATGTGTTTCTTCAATTTATTTTCAATGGTCAAAAAGTGAATTTGATACTTATAGGTATCTAGGATTACCATCTATTCTAAACATGGAAAGCTCAAGCTGGCTGATCATAGATATGCCCCATCGGGCTAGCTTGGAGTGGGAGATCAAAGTGGGCCGCGTGTTCGAATTGGATTCGTTCTATGAGAATTCTGGAGAATCTGCATGTTGACTAGGGGCCCCAGAATCTCCGATAAGAGGAAAATTAAATGACCAAAGAAAGCAATCGCACCGACAAGAGGCGAATAAAAGTGGCCTTGTTGCTGGGCATACCAATTTATCTATTAAAACCAGGACCATCCAAGGCACGTCGAATGACTCCAAGAGCACTTCGTGTAGAGGAAACACATTGTGACACATCAAACCAACCAAAGAAATGAAACAAAGCTAGCAATGACCCTGTGTCTGCTCTATTTGTGCGCATTCGTCACAACGTCATATCCCAATAATCCCTATTAACATCGTAATCAGCTTGAAACGGAGGTTGAAATGTGAGATGAGAATTGAGAGCCCAAAACTCAGTAGGCGGATCAAAGTTCAAGCTGGTATCCGTTCATCGGGCCGTTTCCGCAACTTGCCCATTTGCATAACCAGGGTCCGGGATCGTGCCCATCCATGAAGATGAAGTATTGCACTGGAGGAGTACTCGGAAAAGTTGGCAGAGGGGTAGTAGTAGCGGCGATATTTTTAGATGGATCGAGAATTGCACGATGTTCGAGGTATCTTGTGCCGATATAGGGGATATCAAGTTTGATACGACTCAGCCTTCCATTCTCATGTTGGTGTCCTTCTGATTCGTCAAGGGGTGGGGGCTCAGTTCCCATTCCGATTGTCCTGATAAGCGTCAGAACATGCAATGCTCGAGTTGTATTCCTGTCTGGAGTAACGCTCTTCGATAGTTGCCCTAGAATAGCTACAACCCGGTCGATAGCCAGATAATCTTCTTTGGTCTTGTCCAGTGGGTTAAATGGCCCAAGTGAACTGACACTGATTGTCATTGCTGTTGTAAATGCTTGGAAATCAAGAATACTCGAGTCAAAGCCGTTTTCAGTGGTGCGTCGAATGTTCACATAGCAAGCGATGATGCTACGACAGGCGATGGAGACACGCTTGCCGGTTTTAATCATAGAAATTGTCAGTACCTGAGAGGCAGGTGTAACCAAGCCATGAGCAGGTAGTACCATAAGCGATAGTGAAGGTTGAGGAAACACAAGGACCGCTCGGGACAATTGCCTGGCGGAACATTGTCGGGTGATGCCAAAGGGGGTGGTTCGAATGCTTGAAGGAATGCTTGAAGTGCTGCTTCGATGCCCTGTGTCATCTGCAGCATTGCCGGAGTGACTTCTGTGAATGTTTGATTACGCTCAATGATTGATCCGGCTTTCCGAGCAAGCGGGTTCAGAACGTATTCATTGTGGACGGGCAAATCTTGAGAGTCGCTTGGGTTAGATTGACATAGATCTATTTCCGTATTTGATATTGCTCCGTGCACACCCAGAATCAATGAAAAATGCCTGTCAACCATGAGAATATGTCTCCAGATGAATGTCGCCCGATGTTGATACTCGGCGCTTTCATTGGGAGCGGGTTCAGCACGGTGGAACCCGATTATCTGGGCTATGTTTGCAGCTCGACGATAAGAAAGCCATGCACTGCGTAGCTTCCTGTCGTTGCTAAAGATCAACCCTTGCAAAACCAAGCACTCGAGACCGTCGATACAACTGGCAATAGAGTCATCAGAGCAGACGAGTGTAGAAACACGGGTGATACAATCTTCCACTAGGACCCATGGTAAGCAGGGAAGATCAAGAGAGGCTATATCAAACTCCGAAGGAAGTTGTTGGAGACACAGTGCAATCCACAGGATGGTCTTACCAACCATAGACGGGTTTCTGTTTCGAAGTTCTCCCTCCGAGAAAGAAAGCAATAGTTCATCGTCGTCACCGAGTAGCTGCACACGCATGAGCCACCAGCTACTGCTAGCCTCTGATATGATTCTCAATGTCTTCTGCGAGGGTATAAAGGCTAGCAGATCGCGGCGCAGTCTCCACCAGTCCCGATAGATTGTGCCATATGGCGTAAAATTAGACGTAGCCTGATCGAGTTGGCGCCGTCTGACCGCCTACTCACCTACAATTCTGAGATGGAGTAGTAATTGCAATTTATCTCACTGTCTTAATCTTCATTCCGTCTAGCATCTCGCCTCGAACAGGGTCTGGTTCAACCATAACGCCATCGCCTTGAACTGCAATCCAGGGGGTATCTTCAAAGAAAAGTCCGTGATTGGCTCAACGTGGAATTCTCGTGGCACAATGCTAATGCTCACATCGGGGAGTTCAGCCTGGGAAGGATTAATCGTAAAATCTAAGATAGCCGTGGACGACACGAGGACCGTGGGGATCGCCTCACCTTCATCTTTTCGGCCGTCAGCCTAATCGGATCCAACAGGACTTCGTCTCCCCCCGCTCCAATGAATATTCTTGAAACAGGAACGTCTCTCCACCAGCTTGCTGGAGCTTTAGCTGGGTAGTTGTACTCATCTTCCGCGGTCTGACCTAGAAATATCTGTGCCCAGCTATTCAAAGTCTGAGCTGAAACCACGTCTCGATCAGCGTTTTCCATGGAGCTCGCATGATCGGTTCTGAAGTCCACCCAAGGGGACAACAACATCGTTCCTCTGAGGGGTTCATCAACCGAAAATCTTGGCACGGTATCTTGAGGATGCGGGTGAGTGAGATGCGATAGCAGTGCAAGTGCAAGATGAGCGCCCGCCGAGTCACCTTGAAGAACAATGTCTGACGGTCGTTTTCCTAGTGCTTCGATAGCATACCGTAGAACTATAACGGCCTGTTGCAACTGACGAGGCCATCGGGCTTTGGGACTAAGTTCATAGGCAAGGAATAGCACACCAATACTATTCCCCTGATTTTTAATGTCCGTGCAGAAAGCTTCGATATGGGTGAAGTGGGTTGGTAGAGCGGGCAGGCTATAGCCGCCACCGGGAAAGTAGATGATCAATTTTTCAGCAGCAGGGTTACCCAGCCAAAATGCCGTTGTGTCTTCGGTGAGAATGAGGATGTTGGAAGAGGTTTTTTGCTGTCTTACGTGGGCTTCGTAACCTTTCTGAGCCAAAGCGGGGGTAAGAACAAGTCTGCGAAGCGTTAGAAGAAATCTTTCTTTGTCGGATCATGGGTTTTAGATATATCTAAGGACTATTGCCAAGGATTCATAGCTACACTCACTGTATCTGCTCCATGGATGCATTTCGAAAGAGAGCGCGTGTAAAAGACAGTGCAATATGCTTGTAAGCTGTGGCACCTCCCTTCTGACCGCGGAATGGAGCAATGATCGCAGTCCATATAGCAATGGCAACTAAATTAAAGATGCATCAGACGATCTGTTTGTCAAATTCAGAGACTTCTTGGTGACTGCTTACAGGATTTGGCCACTGCGATCCCCAAACCCAACGCTAAGGGAGCCATGGGGCGCGATGAGTGTTGGCTGGGCTCGAACAAATCAGAAAATGTCAGGCACAGAGAATGATGGGGACTTAAGAACTTACACTTTCAGAAAAGGACGTTCTGTACGGTTCCGGCTCGATCTCGGTGCAGGGGGGGTTGAGTATAGTGTGGCAGATCCGCCGATGCGGCGGAACAAAGGGTCAACCTTGGATCAATCGGCCCCTCTTTAGTCTTCAAGACCTAGGATGTGCATGAAAAAAACTAAAATCAGAAGAAACTGAAAGAGGAGTTATCATGGACTTGATATAGTTGATGGAGAGTTAATTGAAAGTGGGAAGGGAAGTTGAGATCTGAATATGGGGGACTATCCAAGGTAACCACATGGCCCCCCGGGGTCAGTGAAATTCTCTTGCCCAGGTGGTATGTGCATCTCTTGGCCTTACGCTGGTCCATTACGAAATTAACATGTGCTTCTTAAGTCTTATAAAGCATCCCAACAAGAGCGGCAAGGAAACAGAGTCATGGGAAAAGCCAACGATGTGAGTAGGAATAATAGATAAGTGCAGACACATGAAGAAATTGCACAAGTTACAGAGACCTTAGGCATTTTTATGCACTCTACAGGGGTATTCACAATGAAGAGAGCAGAAGAAGTAGAAAGATAGCTTACATGTCGCATATAAGCCGATGGTTGTATCACAAGGTAAAGGGAGACAGGAAAGTATTTAACGGAACTAGAAACCAGAAATGTACCAGATACATAATGTGAAATGGTGAGAACAAAGACAGACAGGGGGGATTTACAAATAACAAGAACAGCGATGTACGGAATTTGGTCCAGATCAGAATTGTACAACTCATGGAGACTATTGCCTCCGAGCTTTCTTCACTTCAGTCTCTTCATCCCAGTCCATCTTACGCTTCCTAGATTCGATTTTTTGCTGGCGTCGCGTTGTGGACCTTGTAATACGAGCCGAAGGGCTTTGAGCCGGGTTGTTGGTCGGAACAATCTGCTCAATCTCCTCAATGGCAAACTGCAACTGCAATGCTTCAAACGAATCAAATACCCTGATTCGTGATATTCGGTGAGTTCCACGTCTAAAGGCCCCCAAAACCAGATGTGCCACAGTTTGCCCAAGTTTGGTCCCTAATAGCGCCTCAAATTCCGGGGTTCCGGGCACCCAATCACGTATCTGGCCATCTGGCCAAGATAGACCATGAGATCTAGTATAAAGTTCTTCCTTGACAAATGAACAGGTATCCTTATTGCAAACATCGAGCATATAGACATACTTCAAGGTATCGATCGGGAAGTGGTTCTGGTAAATGGCCTGGCAAACTTCTGACATGAAGACACCAGTTGTTCGCTTCATCTCTTCAACAATTAACAGCCCAGGTGCAATTTGCCCTTCCCAGGTATTAATTTCCTGGTGTTTAGGGTCTTCTGGAGATGGAGCGTCCGATTCAACTATGGCGATCTTTTCCCACGCACCACCAGTAGGGCCTATTATTTCGAGGCCTCCAAATTCGTGCTCAATCTGAAGTGGAATATATGGACTCATGTCTGTCTCTATTTCCAGTTGCTTGAACTTCCTGAAGTCTTTGAATTTCAGCGTCGAAGGTCTAATTGGACATATGCCCACAGACGGATCCGATTCGGGACATTCAATCCATTGCTGTAGTAATCGGCCACTGGCTTGTCGCCTGCCGTATTCGAGAATGGGAGGCCGCATTGGAGACATGTTGAAATTGCTGAATCTAAATTGGTATGAAGATTGCTGTAAAAAGGCGAGATTAATACCAAGGCCCTGCATGGGAATGAGTGCTTTCTCCGATGTCAAATTCTGTTGATCAATACAAACTTGTGGGACATCGTGCACTCTTATAGTCTACACTTCGAACTAGTCCGTGGCACTCGCACTGAAAGACATCAATAGATATTGGACAAAGAGATGGACTTGAAAGAATCGTCGAAATCAAAAGGCTAAATTTAAATCATGCAGCCTTTGAGAAACAATATCTGTTTGATTGAACTCGAGTGTAGACTTTCAATTATAAATAGCGACATTTCAATTCTAGAGCCCCGAGATGAAAGATGAGAACAATGAAAGCCAATGCTGATGGCCGACCAAGGCCACATAGTCTTGTTGAGGGTTTGCCACGAGGAATAGATTCATTGTCCATTTTATTATTGCTTCCAACTACTATGCTAGACTGATTGTTTATCTCGAAGCACTATCACGGGGAAAGAAATGCCTTTCCTGTGCAGATTTGGTGGGGCTGAGTGCCATTTTCAGCCTTCCCTGCTCATGCCCGCAATCACGACTTGGGGCCAATTTTGCCGCCCATAAACACGTTTCGGCCAAATTTGGAGGTTGATAAATTGAATGAAGCAGAGCTCCAAGGTCAAGATGGTCAGAACAAGTAGTCAAGGACCAGCTCTGTAAATTTCTCTTCCTCGATATTCTCTATGCTTCTCAGATCTTCACACCGTACCATGACCACCAAATCAAAGGCGCCTCTCCCACTAACAAGAACACTCATTACCCCTGGTGTATTTCCACTACTCTCTGCATGGTCGAGTCATCAGTCTAGAGCTGGGATAATCTAAGCCCCATCAAGACTACAATATGTTTGCCACAGGGGTTGGCACTTTTGCCCTATCATTTATCAGGGATTGCTTGTCCCAGCGAATGAAGTTTGGCCGATAGCCTTGCAAACTCTCAGAAAGTAGCAGGCTAAATATTGAAAGTTTTTGGAAGATTGGTTCCACGCTAACATGTCATTACTACTCCCTACAGATCATAAAGTAAGGGCGCCGCCAGTGTGGGCTTGACAAACCACCGAGGGTTGCCAAAGTATCAATCCAACATCAATCTCCTTAACCTATAACCATACCACCAAAGAATGAGAATAAGTTTGATGGCTGTTGGAAATCAGCCGACATCCGCTTAGCTCTGACTATCGCTTTCGTGATGCCTGCGCTTGTGTCTACAAATACACATAAAAGCAAATCAAGATCTCAGGACACTGTGGTGGACTGGTCGGGCGTATCCTCGGGTGCCATTGCAGGAATAGGGGTAGGTGCTTGGATATGTGGTATTACGGTTGGCTTGGCTTTACAACTCTCAGAGAGGGAGATAATGATCTAGCTGGGATTTAAGAGTGCAATCTTTTTGAAACCTAGCTAGAACTTCGTATTATGATGAAGCAAGTATGGGAAAACATTCGTGTATCAAGCTAAGCAGCTGCCAGTAGGAAGAATGTCGTTCCACCCCATCTCTCATCCATCCCACGTGCGATGGTCCGCCAAGCCCTCTAAGCTTGGCGGATGACTGGGGCTGTCTAGACGGGCTTGGCATTCCATTCCCTCGACTTGGCAAAGAGGTTCAAGCTTCCCAGGTAAAACCCCAGGATTATGCACGTGTAAATCTCACCTTTTTCTAATTTGTTCCTATACTGAACATGTGCTATTTAGCGATAAAAGTCTATTAAGAGACCGAGATATTCCAGAGATATGTGTCTCTACATCACCATGGACTATCTTGGCAGGCGACTCTTGGCAGGAGGCTCGCTTGCGATTAGCTCCAAAGCTCGCTGTACTTAACAGAGCAGTTTTCTCTGCAAACGTAGCTCTGCTCCATCACAATCGGCTTAAGAAGATGCGCGCCTCCTCAATCTCTACGCTCGCATGTTTTGTTGTGTTCACGGCGGCCCAGACCTTCCAGCGCCTGGGTGGTTGTCCTAATTTGGGGTGTATCTTCCCACCTGATCAGTATGTGATATTTAGACTGCGCCTGCTTTATAGCTTCAAATACCTTTTTGCAGGGTCGACTTCCTAGCGGGTCAGTACTTCGATATCCGCCTCGAAGTACACTCCCCCGTCAATGGTTCCGAGGCTCGAATTGGAGAGCCAGACGAAAACTTTACGTTCACCATCGCCAAGAAGGGCAACGGCAAGGATAAGGGCAGTGTTCCTGTCACTGCAGCGGAATACTTTAAGATTGAGGAACCTAAGCTAGAGAAGTGGGACTTTACATGGTTTGAAGGTAATAGCTTCCTATTACTTACTTCTTTGGGGGCACTTGAGTTGATAGAAACAGATCGATTCGCCGAGGACGCAGAGAAGCCTTCCCTTGTCAATGTGACCTCGAAGATTTATAGGAGAATCGCCCTCTATGAACCCGGTGAATACGAAGCTACTCTGACCTACTACGGTGAACAGAAGACAGTTGCCAACTGGCTTGTTCGTGATCTCTCTACTAAGCGGCGCGCAAAAAACGTTGTCATGTTTATTGGAGATGGCATGACAACCAACATGATCACTGCGGCACGTCTAATTGCCCACCGCAGCATCAACGGCAAATACATGACCAAAATGGCATTGGATAAGTTTCCCGTTCTAGGCCACCAAATGACACATTCTATGGACTCGTTCATTACCGATTCGGCCAACTCTGCCACGGCACTTTACACTGGTCACAAGACCACTGTCAATGCTTTGGGTGTCTATGTAGACTCTTCCAGCGACGCATTTGATGACCCGAAATTCGAGACCATCGCAGAGATCTTCCGCCGTCAGCACCCGAAGGCCGGCGTTGGCATTGTGTCAACTGCATTTTTGGCTGATGCGACCCCTGCCGGATTGGCTGCGCACACTAGCGACCGTGGCGAGTACGACCATGTCATCGGCACATACTACGAAGGTCTCACCAACTACGAGTGGACGAACTGGGATGGCCCCGATGTCCTCCTTGGCGCTGGTGCAGAGGACTTCCTCGGGAGCGACGAAAAGCGCAACTACTACAAACTCTTCGCCGAGAAGGGCTACAACGTGGCCTGGAACAACACCGCCCTGCACAGCGCCCCAAGCGACGAGAAGCTGCTTGGCGTTTTCCAGAAATCCAATCTTGCTACTTGGCTTGATCGCAACATCTACCAGTCTAACCTCTACAACCAGAGCAATTATCCCGATGGTTCAGGTCGCGACGCAGACGACTTACCTGGACTCAAGGATATGACCCTTAAGGCGATCGACGTGCTCGACAAGCGCCACCACAAGGACGGCTGGTTCCTGATGTCCGAAGCCGCCAGCATCGACAAGCAGATGCACACTCTGGATTACGACCGTTCCCTAGGCGAGCTTCTTGAGCTCGACGATACCGTGCGCGCAACAATCGAGAAACTCGAGAAACTAGGCCAGCTTGAAGACACCCTCATCGTTGTCACAGCCGATCACGGCCACGGCTTCGACGTCACCGGCTCGGTCGACACGAAGTATATGGAGGCACAGAAGGACGACCGCAGCAAGCGCAATGCAGTTGGATATTATGAAAACTCTGGCTTGTCGCAATACACCGTCGCTGGGTCCAACCCCTTGCGTTACTCCGAGGGCGTCCACTTCCCTGCCCAATGGGACCCGAGATACACCCTGCACGCGGGTGTTGGTGCCTTCCCTGACCACCGTGAAAATTATCAGGTTCACAGCGAGGGTCCCCGTAAACCTGCTGTGAAGGACGAGAAGATGGGATACGTTGCTAACTACAAGGATGCGGTCAGTGGTTTCATGGTCAATGGAACCCTCCCCGTTGATGCGGCGCAGGGCGTTCACTCCTTGACGGACGTGCCAGTATTTGCGCGCGGCCCGTGTCAAGAGCGATTTGGAGGTGTATACAGCTCGATCGACATCTTCTTCAACATGGCGGAATGCCTGGGGTTGTCGGAGACGAAGTGAAATGGCAAGCCCGCCACCCACGCTGGAAAGCACGACTAGTTTAATGGGGTGCTATTCCACTTGTGACATCCCTGTCTCACAAAGTTTGAGCCAATTAATTGGAGGCCACATTTCAGAGCTCCATTTGTACAAGAGAAGAGGATGATGTTATGGTGAGAACTCGAATTGCAATTTTAAGTGCATCATAAAAAATCCCTTTAATATCCCAGCAACACCTGCTGTTTGCAAGGTATACGTGTACAATTGAACACAAGTCTATTTACAATGGCCCAGCCAATTGATGCCATGTATCAGTCAATACTAACCAAAGCAAATCTATTAAGCAACCGTGTCCATCAGTGGAGACATAATGATCGAGTTTATTTGGCATTGTTGGCACAGGTCCAGCTGGCCTTGGACGAGCTATCGTTGATAGCCACGCCAGAGACATAGAGTCCCAATCCACACTGGTCTTATTAGCAAGGAGTTCGGAATGATCGGAATGATTCAGAGAGGCAAAACATACAATAGCACAAGCAATTCCAAGAATGGCGACGTTGATAACGGTCAGGGCAGTCTTCTTAGTTGACGAAAACAAGTCTTCCTTGTTCATCATGAGCCAGAAAATGGCGGGGAGACCATCTACTTTCAGTCAGTAATCCATTTTGCATCAAAATCTCAATCTCGGGAGTCGACTTACAGCTAAACCAGCTTCCAAAGAGAGCACTCTGCAGAACGAGTTAGTAGACGCACAATAATAAGTTTTCAGGACACATACAATCAAACTCAACAACTCGTTAAACACCGGAATGGACTCTGCGATGACCCACGCAACAGTCCAGGTGGTCAGGCCGATCGCAACCCATGTACCAGTAGCCAAGAGAGTCTTCTGGTGCATATGGTGCGAGCGCTCGCCGCGGAAGATACGAACATAGATATACTTGCAAGCAACGTGGCCGAAAACAACACCGGCAACAATGACCTAGCAGAAGTTAGAACAGACTCAATCAACCAAAAGAGAACACATTACACACCGTTGGAATAGCCAGGCCGTAGGCAACCTTCTTCATCAAAGGTCCAGCCGAGGATAGAGCCGGAGATGCGACATCCGGGCCCGCATAGCAGTAAATGACCATAGCGGTCACAACGTACATAGTAGTATCGACAATTTGAAGCATAGCGAGGGACTTGGGGAATTCACGGGGATCCTGCATCTCCGACATGATACCGAAGAAAGAGACGTGGGCAATGAAGGCGAAGACGATGTTGGTGACGGCCAAGAAACCCTCCTGGAATGTCGGAGTCGTGAAAATATCATTCTTGACATCTGCAGGCGCCTGGACACCGATGGAAACCATGGTGACGATTGTGGCTACCAGGATACTGATGGCGGAAATGATAGACATCCAAAAGACCTTCTCTGCTGTGCGCGGAAGAGCCGCAATACAACTAACGACCAAGCCGACAACTCCGAAAACAATGGTGCAGGTACCGTGACTCGTGATTGTGTTGAACAAGACCGAGAATGTGAGAATGTGACTGGCCATCAAGAAGATGATGAACAGAAGCTGGCCGACGAAGAAAATCTCACGTCCGATGGGGCCTAGAAGAAGCTCGCCAGCATCGCCCATACTGTGGACCTGAGGATAACGCTGCTTGAACTGGCCCATGGTGTATCCAGTGTACCACGAGATGCCGGACAAAAACATGATAATGATGAACGCCCTGGGAGATGGTCAGCTATCTTCCTATGTCGTGGAGGTAGAGATTTTCTTACGGGACAATTCCGAGGGTTGCTACTGCGGACGGAAGAGATAGAATACCAAGCGAGATGTTTTCAGCGACCATCACTAGATGAACAACATTAGAAGATGGATCCCGTTGATAGGGGTTACTGATGGGCTCTCACGCGTTCCAGCTTGCCTGTACACAAGTCAGAACTTTGCTCGTTGATGCAAAATAAGGGTAAACAGAGTGAGATACTGACCACCATGGCATGATACGATACTTCACTTCCCCAGCTTCTTCATTTCCAAAGGGATCGTCTGTAGGCTCTACCGGATAGGCCTTCTTCTCCATGTCGTTTGACTCATTGTATACTTCGTAGTCCTGAATAGGATGAGGTGCTTCGGGGAGACTCATATTTTTGAAAAAGATCTGATATGGGAAAGTGAAGAAAATTAAAAAAAAAAACGTCCGGGGCGAGAAAAAAAAGGCACCGAAAATTTGTGTAGGCCCAAAAATCAACGGTTGGCCAAGGGCTTTTGCTTGGCGTGTGAGATCAAAGATTTAATGGAATTTATTTATTACCAGATATGAAGTACTGAAATTCTGGTGAGTGCGAAAAGCCCAATCGTTGCCTAATGAAGAATTTCAAACACACTCTGGGGTGTCCTCCGGGGTAAAATGCCAATGAGGTTGCAACTTCGATGGCGTTGAAAAATGCGTTGATGGGTTTGGCCCGCAACACCGTGGTATGATTACCTAAGCCCATCTTCACCGGTGCCCCGTCCATATTTGTGGGGTATGCGGCGTCGGGTGAACCAACCCCATGCGCGGTATGTACCCCGGCGACAGATTCTACCGGCCCGGCGCACCCGGCCCGGCGTTGAACAACCCCCAGCGCATATGAGCCCCTCAGCGATAACGTGGTTAAAAATTTTAGTCAAGTTTTTATGTACTGTCCAAAGATTAGGTTTACCCCAAATCTCAACCCCAGATCATACAATTTCACTCTTAAAGACCCAGTTCTCATAGGAAGTTCGAAAATATAAAGTAGTTGTGCACAAAACTAAAATCCGACTGTGGCGCTTTTAACTTTGGTTCAACACAGGCACTAGACTTTTCTGGAAGCGAGATTCTCACCTATCAAGCCTCAGGGCCCGATCTCGGGAGACTCAAGCCATGTTTTCTAAAACCCCGGGTTTTGGCGGGTGTTGTTCTAGTCCCAATTCAGGGATTTCATTGAATCCCGCATAGATCCGATCCAACTTCTTAGTTGGGATGCCGGACGTGGAAATAACGCCTTGTTAGCATACAACAGTACACAATCTCTTCATTCAATTCCACTGCAAAACTCGTGCAGCACAATTCTTAACATAAGTACTTTTTGTTTGGAATCACAATTCAAACGATACAAAGTATTAAAATTTCTTCAATTTCAAATTGCGAAATTACGAAATGAAAGGAGATTGCCTTGCCTTTTTTGTAATGTCACAAAACTTGTTTAATGCCGAAAATCTGCTTTATTTTCATTTATTTGATCTCAATGACAAAACATGAGTTGTAAGAAACTTTGTAAATACAGTATTTCGTATTGCAGTATATTGCAAACGGTTTTTGTATTCAACCCCTTTTGAACGAATGTCTACTTCTAAATCTAAGCTCATCGTGCTACATTAAAATAGTCTGATATTGCTTCGTAGGTCAATATGAATGACTATAGCCATTTCAAACATCCAGAAGCCATACCTGTTGTTGGTGTGCCCCAGTCAAAGAAGATTGTCCTTCAGCCATGAATCCCGAAATTAGGCACATCATGCATGGTGTGCCTATGTGAAAGTATAGAAGACACAAACCGCGCAATCTCAATTTTTGGTCTACGCTGGATGATCAATAAAAGGACTTATATAACGTAAGACTGATAAGATCTTTCTAAAATTACGAAAAAATTCCAGCTAATTTACAAGATTATAAGAATCAAATTAAAAAACATTATATTAAAGATTGGACATATATTGTTCCATATAGAACTTCCATATTCTGTTATCTTAAGCCTATCTTATCAACAACTAGTTAGTTATTGAAACTAAATTACCTAATGGAAGCCCTTTCAAATAAAACTATGATCTCCCTGGCTACATGGGGGGCTAAGAAAAATAGATGTTAATGATTTTGATTCCCGTGTACCTTTAATATGGGCACGCGATACATATGGGCACGCGATACAAGTTGCACCTAATTTCAGAATTTATCTCTAACTGACGATTTTCGTTGACTGGGGCGCACCACAAACACCAGATTTGGTCGTTGGGCGCTTCGCAAGGTCACTAAACTGGAAATTCGCGGGTTGAAAAACCAGGAAATTTTCGAATACGCATGGCGGGATCAAAGGCCTGATTCCTGATCTTTCATGGTTGCGGCCTCATATGTTATAGTTACGAGCTGGACCTACATGTTGGCAACACAGTCCGATGCGCATGTTACCAAATTGCAGCCAGCTGGTTAAGAACACACGTCAATATGAACTTTTCCATATGACGTAAGGTTTTTCGTAAAATTTCTTGCTACTCTAGGGAGTTTCGGGAAATTTAATGAACAACTGAGATGTGTATGTTTAGAAAAACTGCGGATTCAAGGGTTTTACTAGCTGCACAATCATCGCCAAACTAATTTGAATATGCCCACCGCTGCTGTTCTTATCAAATTATTTACAATGAAGCTTAGGATAGTACTCCTATAGTATTTTGCACACCTATCACTTGACTTCCGATTGTGCCATTATGCTCTCCAATTGCCTCTCTATGTTTCCTATCACGGTTTATAATCTAATCCCACATATAAAATAATTAGCCTGAACTACGGGAATAGATTTTCTCGGTGCTGGCAACTTGATTGGACATCTATCAAGTGTCAGTCAGCTGTTGAGTAATACTACGGTTGTAACCACCCCATGTGTCTTCGTGGAGTGGGTCCTGAGGTTGTCGTGACGGGAGAAGCCCATTCTGCAGCAATTACAATTTTTATGGTAAACTTCGACTTAACGCATCACTAAAATCCCCCTCCAAAATAGGAAGATACTAAGTTCTGGCCTAATTTTAATGCCAAATGTAATTGATTTTGAATGTAATATGTGCCTGTTCAGCAAGGAGGCGGGGGCAGCGGAACGCGAGATCTTCGATCGGTTCTCGCGTGGTAAATATATGCATTTTCGAAACACACACAGCGCCCGTATAGACGGCAATTTTCAGACTTAAGACCCCGATGAAATGTGACTGAATATTAAATCCCATTTAATTGCAATGCTACTGCTTTCGACGAAAGACAGTAAGACGGACTTACTCGTATGAACCGTCCTGCTTTCTTTATGTAGATTATCAAGCCTCGTAAGAAGAGCACGAATGCATATTTTGTGGCATCTTCCAGCTATCAAAGCGCCCCTGATATATTCGAAAACGTGAAACATCGCGCGTATGGCGAGCGGAACTCGTTTTGTTATTGGCGATTTTCAGTGCCGTAATATTATCTAGCTCTTCGGTATTCCTAAATCTTTGTTAGATACAGAGAGACAGCTTCGAGTTCAAGATAAAGTTTAGGCTACCCTTGCAATCATGCGCGAGCCATGCTGTTGAGGACACGTCCTAAACAACCTTAGCCAAGGTTTAGTAAAGATCAGCGAGCACCTCTCCAGGCTTGAATCGCATAATGGCGAGTTCTCCTCATCAACGAGCATATCTGGAGGTAAACCATATGTACAACTGTGAATCAAATTATTCTGGTTGAAATCCGTTTTTACTCAATTTTGCCAGAAATTACGAGGAAACTCCAAGCTCTCTAGCCACTTAGCCTGCATCAATGGCATATTCAAAAAAAAAACCGCCAGAAGTTTCTATCTGAAGATAGCTATCTACCTGGCTCATAGCTACGTGTATCGGCAGAGGCTACAATACGAATCTCGAAACATAACAGATGAAGCAGTTTCAACAGGGCAATAGGCGGTGTACGTCTATAGCATGGGCCCAAAAGCACAGCGCCAGCTTCGTAAATTCACCTCGCATCGGTTAAGTACAAAGTGCACCAAGTGATATCTTTGTCAATTCTGGCTGTTCTCCTCAGCCTCTTTACCAAGCAACACTGTCCCCGGCACCATTTTGGGTGCAGTAATAGTGTAACTCATCACCTCCGATGTGCATTCCCTTGGACTCGCAGTAGTACAGCAGGTTCTGGTCGTTCAGAAGCGTGCAATCGGGGCAGTGATCCCATTGGTTGTTACCAGTGTTCCGGTTCTTATAGGCATTGCATGCCTTCTCAGTGGCAGCCTTATTGTAAACGTCCTGTAAAGTATTTAGGACACATCCACCAAGAGGATATAAGTCTTCAGGTTGCACTTACCACTCCTCTGGAAGGGGTATCGATGCAAACACCTTGAGTATGAAGATCTGCGAAAGCACTATAAAGAATCAGTACCTGCATCAATCACGTCAACTTGAAGAAGATCTTACCCAACAGCAAGAGCTGCGACAATAAGGGAAATGGATTTCATCTTGATGATAAAGATGTCGGAGGTAAATATGAAGCTGACTTTCGAGGATTGAGTGGCAGACGTAAATTTAAATGATGCTCGAGAAGCCAGAGAAGCGGTAGGTTAAAAAGAAACTGGTTGCTACTTCTAAATTGAGTTTGTCTATCTCTCCGTACGTCAGATCATGCACATCCCCGTTGTCGAAATGAAATATCCAAGACAAAATTCCCGAACAATCTCCATTAGAATGAAGATCTTCAGTCTAAATTTCCCTAATTACACAAAGGGAGTTTCACTGTCTCTCTTGTCATCCTCCAAGGTCCTCTAAGATGAGATATGTCTCACAACAATTCTGCCTGCAACATACGACATATGACATATGACAAATGGAGTAGTTACTTCAGAGTTGAAATGCAGTACTTTAGAGTTCAGCTAGCCGTTTAGGTTCCAGACCGTCAGCACGTGCAAACTGTGTCTCGTCAGGGTCCTGCTTGTCTTAACTTCATTGGCGGTTTCAACCATCATTTAAAGTGACTATATGCTCGGAAGAGGAATTTTGATCCTTATGGTTGATCATTTCTTCATGAAGAGATTCAAAAAATGCCCAGATTGAGCAGTATTTCTACTACTCCGTCTGCTCCGTGTTGAATCCTTCGGATGAATTAGACTTGGCCCCCGGGTCGTCTCACAGCCACGCCCCTTATCACGATCAGCAATGTGCCCCACAGCTGTTACGCCCCAGGTTTCAACTCCCCCGTTGCGAACCTTTAGGTTTTCTTCAGGAACAAAGCAATTGACCAATGAATTTACCCACAGATCGCGTATGATCTACACACACATCATCCCCAGAACTCCCGCAAGAAGCCCAAATGATTACACTGTCGCAATGTCGCAATGTCTCCCCACCATGGTTAGATACGATCAGCATCGGTGGATCTCCGGCTATTTTTCGGAATTACAGAGCTGAAACATGGTGGGTTCTTGCGTGGATATCCTGAGATTCTATGGTCATGGTAGATCAGCTACCGTAATCTTGCTTCGTAAGATGGATTCATCTAGTTTGACAAACTATAGCATTCCTCTGGGGTTAGGAAAACTGTCGCCTTCCTTGCGCGACGCTAAATAGCGTCTCTTTCCCGTCGCCGATTTTGCGATATCACTTTCCTCTAGATCAATTTGTGGTCCATATCCCCGAACCTTTACCCAAATTCCTTCTTGTTGGACATTATGAAGATCGACTTTGTCTTCCTCGCCTCTCTTTGTGCCAACAGTGCACTGGTTTCTGCCCTGCCGGTCGAGGCAGATGAGACTACTCTTCTTCTTCTGAGCGATGGCACCACACAGACTATCAACAAGGGAGACCTAGCTGCCAGTCTCCCTGGAGTTTCTCTGTCTCCGCCTGCTTCCCCTCCGAAGTTCATTCAGACTGGATCTAATGATTCCACACCCTCGAAGGGTCTGAGCAAGCGCGGTGGTGCCCAATTCATCATCCCTCTTCCTGACCAGAAATTCCTGGACTGGGACATCGCAATGTCTTCCATCGTGCACGCCAACGAAGCCGATGCCACTGTCTCTATGGCAGCAGGCCAGTCCATCGCAAACAGCATCACGGTTGGTGTCTCGTACACAGCCACCGTGGAAAAGTGGCTTAGTGTCGGAAGCTCCATCAGCTACGGCTGGACCGAAACAGCTACTCTCACCGGCACTGTTGCCATGACAATTCCGAAGAACAGATGGGGTGCGATTGTTAGCAACCCTTTGACCTACCGCCGAAGCGGATACGTATTCAACGGACAGCCCGGCAGTGGACACTTCGAATACTTCCAGGCGGATTCTCATACCTCGAGTACTTTTAACTATGGACAGAATTCTTTGTCCTGGGTCGACGGTGTCATTACGACTTGCCTGGGAAACTCATACCCTCTGAAGCGCTGCGTCGGACAGGGTTACTTGGAATAAGTTTCCAATTTTTGTGACTTGATTGGCAGTGGCAGAATTTAAAATCCTGGATGTTGCCCACGCTTTCACTTCACAATATGCCCCTTGGGCGCAGTAAGATGCTCTGGTGGCAGAGGTCTTGATTTCCTGTTAGTTTTATGTTGTACATAGCAGCTGTCTATTTTCAACGGAAGCATGAGTTCTAGCGCAACTTAAGTTCAGCATATCGTAGTTGTAGTTGTATTACTATAAGGGGCCATTTTTCAGGCTTTATGAAGCCAAAGAAAGCTTAGGGGCATTGGAATCCCAGCCATGCTTCAGTCGTCTCTATGGTTACTTATCTCGTTAATGTCCCAAGATGTACCGCATTTTATCACCAAAGCCACTATGAAACCCTCATTGAACGTTCTTCGTTTGAGTCAACACTGCAGTCTCCACCCATGCCAGTACCTTTTGACTGGCTTCAAGCCATGCTCTAAACCTTCGAATTGCAAATTCGCAAGCTCAACGCTCCCAAAGCCCATTTAGCTTCCTAGCTCACCTCCAAAAGTGGTTGGCATTGCCCTCTGAAGATTCCATGCCAGTCATCTTTTACCGTCTCTAATGGGTGTTGCTTTGGCACATAGTCCTTGGACATGATTTGGCATCGTAAGGGGAGCAAGGCCAGGATACCTACACGAGTCAATTTGTATTAACACAAGAGAAAAGAATGGAGGAAAGCAGTGCTAGCATCACTCGTATAGTCGACCGATGATGTTGAAATGAATTTGCCGACCACATACTGTTTAGCGGTCTTATTGCGGTCTTATAGGCTTGGGCTTGTAAAATTAATAATTTGAATTTTCTTCGCAGCCATGCCACAAGCTCGCAGTAACTATGATGATACTTGGTCGAATTTCTAATTAGATGAGAAGATAACATCAGTGGACGTGAGGCTTCACATCATTCAGACAACTAGAGCTATGGTAAGCTGTATGATGAAACCTTGATCAATGATCAACATAGAAGGAATGGGGGTTAATTCCAAACTTCTTCTAATCGAGAAATATTACGTTGTAAGCCTCAATGAAGGTTCTGGGAGGTCAGAATGCTTTTCTGGCCTGCCATCATGCAGTTATGCCATAGGGCCGTGGTGCAGACTTGCATGGTACTGTCGATCCTGAAGTGAATTCAAGCCACCCAAAGGACCAAAAGAACAAGTCAACGTATGAGGCGGCCCCCGGAAACTGAATATTGAATCTTAATCTCACTAGGCTCAACATGACAATGGAACTTGGCCCATTTTCACACATGCCTAGTGGGGGGAAACCCTAAGTAGGAAAGCCCCTTACTTTTTCTATTGCTGCTACTTTTTATTACGAACGATTGGCAAGACCCATTGTTTAGGCACGCTCCATATAATACTACAAGTTATATAACCCTCGAGAGGCGGCCAGGCCAGAACTCAAGATATTCACTCGGTTTCATCCACATAATAGGCTATTCAGGAGTTGTGCCAGTGCGCCAGTATTGTTAGACGATCCATCCAACCAAGGTTACCCCGAAAACCACCCAGGTCGCGATAGATGCACCAGAGCTCCAGTCCCACACTGGACCGAAAAAAACCCCAAATGCGAGGGTAAAAAGTAGTGGAGCCGCCATTTGAACGCAATACCGATGTAGTCAATCGCCATCAGTCCGGAGATCAGTGGAATATCTGGTCCTAGGCATTTGCGACGAAGGCAGATAATGGTGACCGCATGACTGAGACTCACCCAAGGTAGGTTCATGTAGAAAGCCCGCCGCCCAGTGGTATTTCTGTTTGAGGCGAGAGCGGGTCCTATAGGGCCTCCAGCGACGAGACCCATGACCCATTTTGCGCTCAGAAGACCGAGTCGACGAGGTGGCTTTGGCATGGCGAAGACAGCGACCAATTTCAAGTTACTATGTCACTGTGAGCCCTATGAGGCTAACAACATCAGAGATAGATCGCAACAGAACTTTGGTAAACAACAGTACCACCGATACCCATCAAAATTCTTCCAACAGTGACCTTAGAGAGATTGAAGGCTGCACCAGCGACAGCAATAGCCTAAAGCAAGTAATCATGGTCGACATGCTCATAGGGATTTTGGCTATGCTAAGGAGAAGGCCAACATGGGTAAAGAAAATCCGATTGGGAGAAGTACGGCGCTTAGGTGTAGGTGGGGGTACATAAAAGTGCTGAAGGCAACGCATTCGGGCGTTTCATCATCGCATGTTGCAAGGATCATAGCGTCGTTGATTCTACGCTATAGAAAGATTCGGATTTAGTTGACTCGCCGGAGAATTATACCTTCCTCGCATATCTGAAAACGTAGGGTTTATTTTGTTATGTCCATATTGTGATACTGCTGGTAAATTCACTCGGTGCACTTTTGTCTGCTTTACCAGCCTTGATTGGTCTTTCATCTGTTTGAAAATCAGCATATATGGTTATTACAAGTCTTCAATTCTTCCCCTTCATCTCTTACACCATGTCCGAGTCAAACGCGTGTCTCAACACCACATCTACTGGTCTCATAACGCTTAACAACCTCCTCATGCAGAGCTGGTTAATTCCAGTACTTGTGGCACTTGCTATTGCAAGTCGTCTGCTTCTATCTGTCTCTACTTCTTGGCGCCATGCTCAGAAAGCTCGCGGGATAGGCTGTGGAGAACCCCCTCTCTACCCCAGCAAGGACCCTTTCGGCATTTCCATCCTGCTCGAGATACTTGATGCAGCGAGAAATAAGTTGCTCCCACAACTAGCAGATAGGCGGGTGGCTTCTCTATCCCAGCAGCATGGCAGATACGCTTCTACCTTTCGCTTGTGCCAGGTTGGTCGGGACAGCCTGTTCACAGCAGATCCTAAGAACATCCAGGCTATACTGGCGACTCAGTTCAAGGATTTCGGTTTGGGTGATGCGTGTCGCAATGTAGCTCATCCTGTTGTAGGTAATGGTATTGTGAGTGCTTTCCTCGCTTCTAAAATAGCGTTTTTCCCTTTGGAGGAAAGGATGACTGACTGGACCTAGTTTACTACTGATGGCTAGAGTTGTTTGCGTTACCGATCACTGCTCCGGCCTTGGTTTACGCGAGATCAGATGAGCAATCTCGACAGAGAAGAACGTCATGTTCACAATGCATTGCGTGCCATCCCGATGCTGCCTGACGGCTGGTCCTCCGCTGTGGATATTCAAGCCATTTTCTTTCGTGTTACACTTGACTCGGCCACACAGTTCCTCTTTGGTAGAAGCTCCGATAGCCAGATTGGTACTATGCAAAAGGAAGCAGGACAGGCCTCTGATGATACCTTTCTTTACGGGTTTGACCGTTGCATGTGGTATCTCGCGGAGCGACTCCGGTTCGAGCGGCTCTACTGGGTCATCTACAACCGGGAGTTTCGGAAGTGCATCAAGATTGTGCACGGCTTTGTGGACAAATTTGTTCACTCTGCTCTGGTGCAGGCGCAGCAGCAGGAAGAGACACCCCAGAGCATCGAAAAGGTTCCATCGCAGTATGTCTTCCTGAAAGCTCTGACTGGTACTACAAGAGATCCTATCATGTTGCGCGATAAATCTCTTAACGTTCTTCTGGCAGGCCGTGACACCACGGCTTCTTTACTGAGCTGGGCGACCCTACTTCTTGCACGGCACCCGCGCATCTTCGCAAGAATTCGAAGGGATATCCTCGTTCAATTCGGTACTTTCGGCCAGCCACGAAACAAAAACTTTGCGTCTTTGAGATCATATCAGTACCTCCAGCACTTTCTCAAAGAAACTCTTCGTCTCTACCCGATCGTACCCTTCAACCGCCGTTGCGCGACGAAGGATACTACGCTTCCTTACGGTGGCGAAAAAGATGGTACATCCCCTATCTACATTCAGAAGGGCCGTACAGTCATGTACAGCACCTATGTTCTCCACTGCCGAAAAGATATCTGGGGCGAGGATGCTAAAACATTCAATCCAGACCGGTGGATCTGTCGGAAGGTCACCTGGGAGTATATTCCGTTCAATAGGGGACCCAGAGCTTGCATGCTGCGTAGTATCATCTGTAGTATTCGAAAATTTGTGCCTGCATTCGGTTGTTTCGTGATGGCTAGTGCAGATGTTCTCAATCTACATGTCAAGAATGCAACTTCATTTGAAACCAATACCGAACATACTACCAACCATTATCAACCAAGGCTAAAGTCCTAATCATCTCATTTGTCAAAATCATCAATCCCTCATCAGCCCCAATCCCAGGCTTAGATAACAAAAACTGCGGTTGTGTTGCTAGAGCCACCTGTGCAGTAATCCGCGCCGAAATGTCCGTTTCATTTGCAGATCCACCAAGACAACACCCAACTTTTTCCTTGAAACAGTACATGACCGCATCAATGGAGTTGTGGAGACTTCCCAGATCAGGCGTCTTCACCTGCACATAGTCCACGGCATCGGCGTCAACAAAGTCTCGGATGTCGTCTAGCGTGTTGCACCACTCGTCTGCGACTATTCCCACATTGATCCTGCGAGATGCAAGGATCTTTTTAAGCCGGTGCAGGCGGAGAATCTGAGAGTCTTTACTAGAAGAAACAATGGGAGATTCGATCAATACGTCGTATGGATGGGCTGCCTGCTCGACTTTCTTTAGGAATTTCGGTATTTCCGCGTCCGTAAAGGCATCACCAATTGTCCCATAAACATCAAAGTGGAGCCGTGGTCGATATCCCGGGTCTCCTCGATCCTGAATACGTCGAGAGACAGAGTGCACATAATCGAGCATGGTCTCACCTCCAGGGCCGATGTCGTTCACGTGGACAAATGACGCATGTGGAAGAAGGGCCACTTTTTTCATAATCATCCTATCCAGTTGTAGGTGGTCATTTCGGTGGCAGGAGGCGAGAATACCAACCGGTCGATGACTGATCTTTGTCTTCCACTCACGGGCAACGATCTCGGTTATGGTACACTTGTTGGCGAGAGCTGTCGCAGACAGAAGAGCTTGACTGAGTCCATAGCGAACGGCGGTGTGGAGTCTCTTATTTCCCAGCTCTGGCCACGGTTGATCAATTTTGACCGCATTTGAGCGGAATGTCGCCACGTCACATTCAAGAAGCCATGGCCGCACAATCATGTCAAGCAACGGCAGATGTTGTTTGGGGATGAATAGAGGATCACGCGATGCAGTCCCGGAGAAGATGACATCGACACACTCACCAACAGCTACAGCTCCACTTTGGAGACGAAGCAGAATCGAGATCACCTCTCCTGCTTGGACAACCTGCTTGAACCCTGGTGTCACTGGTGCGATATCGTTGGCGAGGGGATCATAATTGGGACTTTTTTTCACAGCTTGCAGGTCCTTGTGGAAATATCCAGACAGCCCACAAACAAATCGAACATCGGTAGGCTGGATTTTGTCAAGATGCATTGTCGAAAAGTTCCCTGATGATGGCTTTCCCCTTCAGGGGCTTGATTTCCATTTTATGGTGTCTCTGTGTGTTGGGAACGTACTGGTTTGGATACATCACCCGGAGCCTTTACTGATCATTAGCATCCCCTGTTTATTTTTAAAAAAAAAATTTTTGCTAGAATTATTTCACAGGGTTTGCCTCTCCCCGTCATCATTCTGTGTTTGGCCGCTCCCATCAAATCCACACGGGAAAACGAAGGCTGGGAAGCATCAAAAGCAACGATCAACTCACATCCCAGGTTGGTGGAGAGCTGAAGAATTCGGAGTGTCCCATCAGCGTGCATTTTTGTGTCATATGTGACCTGTAAATGGCTCCTCGGTTCTGGTTCAGCCACAGCCGGGAAACGCCACGGTATGCAAGCCACGCGGGGGTGTGATGATCTGACTAGATCTTTGGTAATTTACACGTGATTGAACCACTGACTGTATTACAATGTGTATTTGAAATGTAAAGAAGCCAGAATAGCAAGTAATTTAAAGAGTTTTGGGATTTACCAAGCTCAATGGGGGAAGACCTTTGCCCTGCAGCCCCCTCATAAAGTTAACATCCGTCGGTGATGAAGAAGTGAGTTTGCTAACTATAACGTCTCTGGTTTTCGATGTGGGAGACTAGCGCGGTCTGCTACTATGGGTCCCCCCATCAGACTCCAGATTCTTCACAGACGCAGCCCAATTGTACCAATTGACCTCCTCATCCATGCCCATGTTGCTATCGATTTGGCCTCCAGAGGTACCGGTGAAATCAGTTAACATGCCCTCCTCAAACCACAAACAAGGTACAACGGCTGGGGTGGCAAGTTGACCGTCAAATTGAGCTTCCGGCGCCATTGAGAACTGGCTATATGACGAAGCGGCAGGATTGTCGGGTCCAGGTCTGATTCCCGAAGGAGGCGCCATGGCGGAATCGAAGTTTTTAGATTCATTGGTTGAAACATCACATCCAAACTGCCGTTCCTCTGCAGAAAGAAATCGTGACCCAGCGGTGAAATCCGAGAAGAATGTTTGAGCTAAATTGGGATCAGGATGCACGTTCGAGTGGGTTGTACTTGCAATCTGCATCGGTATATTCGACGGATTGGTGACGCCGAACCCGGGTGCGATTGAGATGTGCGTGGTTTTATCTGGGTGTGCCACTAGCTGGCGCCATTGCTCAAGAAAGAAATCTGCAGAGTTTGAGCCAGGTGGAAATGGCCCAGTACTAGACAGGACTGGGGCAATGCAATAGTCCTGCTCAAGCCGTTGGGCAGCTTGAGAGTCGTTTCTCAGCCGCCCGAGCTCCATACCACGATGCTTCCTAGCCTTGGTCATCAGCTGTCGGAGCGGAATCCAGATGCGTAGATTCCGTTCCATGTGTGATTGGTTCGGTATTAGCCAGGGACTATGAAGGGCCACCCAGGCCCGTTCAGAAAGAGGCGACCACGGACGTCGAGAGATCTCTAGCATCATGTAGACAATGGAGTACCAATGGGTATAGGTCTGGAAAACCCAGCGCCAGTGTCTGCATGCATGCTCGTTGTTAAGGGCATGATTGTACTCGGCGACCTCGATACTGGAAATCAGTAGTTTTGTTCGCAGCTCCTCCGAGAATTCTTCATTCGGCGAGGAGAACAGCAAAGGCAGATAGATAAGCAGAGTCATCTTGGCCATAAGAAGCCGAGCAACCGTAACTATCACCCAGTATCTGATGTTCCCCGAATCAGTCGAGTATTGAAGAAAGTCTCGTTCAAGACCTTGGTATATCTGCTGCAACAAGCGACCTTGCTCTTCTGGACTCGGTGCATCGTCTTTGAAACCATGAGCCATCATCTGCCGCGTGACTTCGCACATGCCAAAGGTGACGCGCGCAACGGACATATCAGTCAGGGCATCGTGAGCTTGGGGCGTTTCCTTTGATTCGGGGTCGAGGTCGGTTTCATTGATGTTAAGAGGTATCTTGGTATCAAAACTCGATTTTGTGATTGTGTAATCGGTCCCTTGATCCTCAGATGATCTCACATCCAACACGCACAGGCTCCACCAAACTCTTCGCCGCATCTCAATCTCGTATGGGCTTAGATAATCGAAATGTGTTCCATCACGATGTAGCCCTAGTGCTTGACTCATTCGGATTACTATTCCTGTCATCATCCACACAAATCTCGGACTGTCATGTCGGCGAGCAAGAGTAAGAAAGATGGCAAATGCCTGCACGAGAACGAAGTCTGGAACATTCAAAAAATCAGCTCTTGCAAGAGCATGTTCGAGCCCTTGGCGATATTTGAGATTGAGCTCTGCTTTGGTTGCTCCGAAATTAAGCACTATCTGAATATACCTAGACGTGAGCCTAAACCCCGCATTGAAACTGTGAGAAAGTTAAATATCTCATGATTTGGCTTACATCTTCTTCTTCCATCGAAGTAATAGCAGCGTAGTATATTGCGAACATCAAAGCTTCATTGGCCGGTGTGAGTCCCTTCATTTCACGGCCGCGCCAGTCGCGAACCATGTTTTTGATAGTGGGCAGATGAACAATTTGAAAGATGAGGTTCACATTTTCGGAGAACACTTCTAGAAGGAACGGAATTTGGGAGGGCAGTGGATGAAGGTCGGTTAAGTTAGGAGAAAAGGGACTCAAATTGTGCCCAAACAAGAATCCGTGACGCTCTGCAGGGGTCCGGTCTAGTTCTTGTGTGGAAGGGGTCATCTCCGACGGTGCCTCGTCATCTGAGGCATCAGATTCTCCCAATGGCAGACCGCGAGCATCTGCCTTAAGGCCATCAAGCTACAATAAAGATTAGGTAGCCACTCATTCCGGGCAGCAATGTGATCAGAACAAGACCACTTACCTCGTCATTGACTCGAGACCAGAAGCCGCTGCTAACATAGCGGCTTCGGTTGGAATCCTGAAGCACCAGTCTCCCAAACTTGTTTTGCACATTGGCAATATTAACGGAAGATGGGTTCGACTGTCGACCATGCGCAGAGCCTTCCGGCGAACCGACCCCTGATGACCCTTCAGCGGCAGAGTTAACTACTGATTTGGCCTGTTCCAGCTGGATGCGTAGCTCTTGGACAAGGCTTTCAAGGTTATGAAGCCTCTCCATCACGTCTTCTGCTACTGGTTCAGGTTCCTGGGAGGCATGTAGGTTGGACACCGCGCTGTTGAGGCGGTCGAGATGGCGAGCCCATCGTGGTGGACGGTCTGTTGGTGGACGCACACAGGCGATATTTGCGCGACGGCAGTTGGAACAAGGCGCTCGCTTGTCACAGCGGACTTTCCGACTTCGGCATACCACACAGCTGCGCAGCTTCAGGGGTGCGTTTTCGTTTCTGCCTGAGGTGTCCAACCTCGCGTTTTTCTCGGCGTCCGAAGCCGAGGCGAACGCGCCCCCAAGGGGCCCGGAGACTGTCACAAGAGGCTCTTCGGCCATTTTTGGAACCGTCGTGGTATTGCTTCATCAAGTAATCAATCATAAACGGATCGAACAAAATCCGGTTTATCCTGATCTCGTTAGGCACACGGCAAGGTCTGGAAGGGTTGGCTGTCTGACTCAGTATTGTACATGGCGCGGGACAGCCAACGAGAGAACGGCATTTCAGCCTCGATTTGTTGGCCTCGGATCAACCCTCTCGCTCTACACGAGTCGCGAGAAAAGAGCGAGACCTGTGGCATTGACTCGGACGGGTTTCGCTCTCTTCATAGTGCGCCACCAACATGTATATTATGAAGCATATCGTCCTGTCCGAGACACTTGAAGACACACATCCACCTCGCCTCTCCCCTTTCTTTCATCAGAATTAAGCCATCCAATACCTAACTACTTGAGCAACCACAGCCCATCTAAACAATGACGTCAAACATCAAGTCTATCGCATTCTTTGGCGCCAGCACTGGCGTTGGCCTCGCTGCCCTCAAACGAACTCTCGCTGCTGGGCACATATGCATCGCGCTATGCCGCGATCCCTCCAAACTCACAGCCATCTTCCCTTCAGAGTCAACACCAAATCTGAAAGTCATCAAAGGCAATGCACACGATATCTCCACTGTATCGCAGTGCCTCCTGACCGACAATGGCTGCATTGTGGATGTCATCGTGTCCACCATCGGTGCCAAGCCACGTGGAATGACAGTCGATGATCCGGACGTCTGCAAGAAAGGCGCGGCAACTCTCCTAGATGCCCTCGCCCAGCTTCGAAGCACCGGCATTACCGGAAATCCTCACATAGTCGCTTGCGGTACAGTGGGCTTTTCCCGCTTCGGTCGCGATACTCCTATCGCTATGGTGCCCATCTACTATCTGTTTGTCAAAGTTCCCGGAGCAGACAAGGTAATTATGGAAGACCGTTTCGCACAGAGCGGGGAATCGTTCACGGTCATTCGTGCAAGTCACCTTGTCGATGGCGAGTCGGACAAGACTATCCGCGTTGGCATCGAGGATCCCAAGACGGGTCCGGAGTCTCGAGCTGTTGGGTATACAATCTCCCGAGAGGATGCGGGGAGGTGGCTCGCTGAAAACCTTGTCTTGAAGATAGACGCGAAGTATGTGAACAAGAATGTGACTGTTACATACTGAGGGGTATGGTGCTGGAGATGAACTAGCCGAGGAGGTTTTGCTTGCTGATATTTTACGTACAACTTTATAATGACACATGGCATTAATGGAATGTATCCGTATAGACTCACATCTACTTGTTGAATATTCATACTGTCCATAATCTAGTCCCCACATCGGCTCTAACAACCCTACAGAATGGAAATACGGGTGTATGACGTTGAGATAGAACCCTGAACTGCCAAAGAACATATTGACATACCTGGGTAGCGCTCATATATCCTTCAAGGGTGCTACAACATGAGAGGCTATCTGCTCATTTGTTCCCAGTGTCACTACCATCAAGAGTCATATGCGCAAATAACCCTATTGCAGCAAGGAGATGGCATTAACAGCATGAAATAGAACTCACGACCCCTTGAGATTCAATCAAGTATAACTATCCCAAAGTCAAAGACAGAAGCCCTTCACTCTGATAACCATACAATCTTATAACCTGCGTAGCGCTGGTCCGGGAGCCACAACTCGTTTACATGTGATTTTCCTGTCCTAGATTCCTTACTAGAGCTGCATTCCACTTCCTCAAACACTTTGATCGTCTAAATAATATTGGTTGTTGTATTGATTAATTGGCGTCGGCCAAGCTCGAAGGCACGTTATTGGATAACAAGTCACGGTCGTGTGGCGAGGTTTAGAGGCGCAGAGGCTGTTGGCAGGTATAATTTAATTTGACACTTCATTGCTCCTGAGCATTTTTTGTTCTCTATGTGTAATAAGAGGATAGACCAATGCCTACCATCTGGCTTTGAGTCTGGCACAAGAAAATTTGAAAACGTCTTGTTGTCGTAACTTTGATAAAATCAAATAGCCAAGTATTGACATCGCATCATAGGGAGTTTCTTCACTTCTAGCTACCAGTAATCCTCCTTAGGGTGATACGGATGTCCATCCTTCTATTGCTGCAAAATCGCCTATTTAGCGCCCATATACTCGAAACGGGCTGCTTCCCACATGACCCATCCGCATTGGCGAGTGGCGGGTGGGAAGTGCCCCCGAAAGAGATAGCCGTGGCTTCTACCACATGTCATCGCCCAGGCCAGCGGCGGAAGCGTCAACATCCATGGAGTTGCTTGTCACCTTGGAAGGTGAGCGGCTCAAGGCATCCGTGTCGGTGGTCTCATCCTACAGGCTGAAATCAGTGCATGTGCCGTTGTAATGATTGGAGACTGATAAATACAGCCTGCTGTTTGTTGGTTGGACAGGCTTGTGGAATTTTGAGTGAGGAGTGGCACATCTCGCTCTGAAAGGAACCCGTTTCTTCCTGTTCTTCCTGAGTTTTCCGAACGGCTTGATTGCCAACTTGAGGTGCGAGGGAGGAAGTAGAAGGGGCATGAAGATCGCCGCGGCGGTTGTCGGCGTGAAAAATAAAAAGAGGTAGAATGATGGGCTTCGACAGGTTTTTCATTCTCAACCTCTATGCACTTCTTTGACTTCATCTACGCAGTATCTGGAGACTCTTCCCAGCACACTATCTTTATAGTCACCTTCATTTTTTCTCTTTTCGAGGGAAGTATCCACACTGCACCTCGCTTGCCTGCTTTTCCGAGTAAGAGCGTTAGGCACATCATAGGACACCAACGTAGGAAGATGATTTCAATGTAAGTACTCAGAACCCCGTGCATGTTGGACAGGCTGGGCGAGGAGAATTCCGAGAAGTGTCTCAGTAGCATCGGCCATGCTAAGACGGTGTTCTTCCACCAATGGAACCTTAAGCCCGACTACCTGGAGCTCGCTGCACTGGCCGCTTTTAAAACAAGCAGGTGCTTCTAGGTTGGGTACCCAGGACACTAAAAATCGGCAAACTGGAGATTAACACGCTGGGTGTCTAGGATGGTAAGGCTTGCCTCTCATATTTTGAGGTATTTAATCTACATTTAGCGAGGACAGACAAGCATGTTCAGGAAGTTCGAATTTATTATTATATTCTAGAGCCAACCAGCGTGCTCTTAGCATAATCTATATGCGATGTATATACAGTGCGTGTAACGTTAAAAAGGTGAAGCAAGACGGAGTCATTCAAGTATCGGTGTTAGCACAGCTGAAGCTGTTGCTGTTGGAGTTCTTGCTGATAGCTGTGCCGGAAGAGTACAGGCCAAGAACGCACAGCGCCAAACCGAAGCCGGCAATGGCGATGTTGAGGATGCTAAGGAAAATCTTGCGGGGAGAGGAAAACAACTCGCCGCGGTTGAGGTGGAGCCAGTAGATACCGGAGAGACCGTAGCTGAACCAGGAAGCGAAAAGAGCACTAATCAAACTATTCAGGTCGCTGAAGACAGGAATAGCCTCAGATATGACCCACGCAGCGACCCAGCAGGCCACACCAAGAGCAATCCAAACACCGATGGAACGCTTGTTGCGCTGGTGCATCAGACCCGACTTGGAGCAGAGGCGGAAGTAGATGTACTTCAAGCCGATGTGGCCGTTGACGACACCGGCACCAACGATGGTAGGGATAGCAATACCATAGGCAATCTTACTCATCAGGGGGCCTGCGGACGTGAGGGCAGGGGAGTGCACATCCGTGCCGATGTAGAAGTAAATGACAATGGCGGCGGTCAGGTAGAGGGAAATCTCAAAGCCCTGGAGCATGAACAAGGACTTCTTGAAATCCTGGGGCGACTCCATCTCGGCAATCAAACCGAAGAAAGCGACGTGGGCGCAGTAAGCGAAGACGATGTTTGAAACTGCCTGGAATGCAGTGTACAGGTTGGTGTCGACAGTGGCGTGGATGACACGACCAGGGTGACTTTGCACTCCCACGGAGATCATGGTGATCACAACAGCGCATACAATGCTGAGGAATGATGCAAACGAGATCCAGGTCATGCCCTTCATCGTACGGGGGATGGACAAGACGATCGAGATAGCCATACCGATGACACTGAAGACGACAGAGCAGGCGCCATGGTTTGTGACGGTGTTCATCATGACGCGGAAGGTCAGGAGGTGGCTGCCCATGACGAAAATGCAAAAGAGGAACTGGCCAGTACCGAAGAGCTCACGGCCAAACTTGCCTAGCAAGATCTCGCCGGCATCACCCAGGTTTTGAATGTGAGGGTACCGTTCGCGGAAGAGGCCAATATTGTAACCAGTGTATGTTGCGAGAATTCCAAGGCCGATAATCAGGATGACACCAGGGACAAGGCCCAGGGTAGCGACGGCTGATGGCAGGGACAACACACCCAGTGAAACTGACTCACAAATCATGAGCAAGCCACATTGCCTGAAGACACCACACGTTAGCACGGACGATTAGAGACTGTTTTCTCGGTGATTACATACCACCACTTCAAGGTTTTATACTTGATCTCAGCGTACTCCTCGTTACCAAAAGCATCGTGGACCTCACCAGTCTTGAGCTGGCCCTCCTCTTCATATAGTGGCATTTCCTTCCGTTCAGAAATCTTCTCCTGCTCGTAAGCAGGTGGTGCGGTGTTGACCTCCATTCTGTGTAGTTGAAAAAGCAGAGGAGTCTGGAAGTGTTGAAGAAGATGGGTTATAAAAGAGAATTTCCCACGAAGAAAGAACAAACCGAGGGAGATCTGGTCAACTTATTGTTTCCCCGATTTTCTCGCGTGCCACAGGGCAAATTTGCCCCATGGGAAGGAATGGAAGGTTCCACAAAAATTAGATGCAATCCGACGGATTCACCAATGGCTGTTTTAAGTTCGGCCCGAGTCCGGACTTCTGGCCACCGACTGACCAATGTCAGTGGCGAGTTGGCCTTGCTGACTCATTGCAATTGGTGATAGAAATTGGTCGCAAAAGCTAAATCTGCCCCAATCCACCCCCAGTCCCACTCGGTACTACATCGCAGCCTACATTGCCTGGTCGTTGACACATAGCTACAGTCACGATCGCCATTCCCGCTTTGAGGTTAATCATTTGTTGGAGAATGTTTGTTAATCCCTTTGGATCTAGATATTTGCCTGGGAGTAGGTTTTCAAAGGCGTCAAATTGTGGCTTAACTTTTAAATTGAATAACCTTTTTTGTCCGGAGATTATTTCGCTCACCGGAACTCGGGTTCATTTCGGCTTCTTACCAAATGGATTTGCCTTTTCACCGAGTGGCGACTCAAAATAGCCCCACTCGAAGTGCGGATAAGAAGGCCAACTCCGGTTTCGCCCACCCCGGTGTGGATTCAATTATGTACAACATAGCTTTATGTACGGAATACGGAGTACCCAAGTAGTACCCCGAATCTAACATCTTCATCTACTGCTGTTTATACCAATTCAACCCCTACACTTCTTCTAATTCGCCTATCTATCCCCAGACCACAGATTTCAAAGATTTGTATCCTGCCTATTGTGTGATAGTTCCACTTCTATATGGGTCGAACTTTGAGTTTTCTAGTCATCTTTCGCCATAAGATAAGCTTAATTCAGATAAGCAACGTGGCCCAATTTGATACCCATAGAAAAAGGTTCATTGGAGCCTCCTAGAACATATAACTAGGCTTTATTTTAGACCAGGTTATTGACCTTGCTTAAAGTATGACCTGCTATCTCTTCAAGGAGTGTTGCTTGGCGTATCAAGTAAACAAGCACTCCGTACTCCAGGTATTTGCACAAGGAAGATTTCGGCCCTAGAGCTGACCTCAGGAACTTTAAACTACCACGACCTCGTGCATAATCTACAACTGGTTCAAAGATTTTATGCAGAGCAATACGGATGAATCGGAAAGGAGACTCTGGAGAAAGTCTGGTAGGCGTGGCGAAGATATGCAGGCCTGAGGCAACAGATTCAGTGCGGATCCTACAACGTACGTTGGCTCCCGAGATCGGCCCAGGGCCCCGGGGCCCCCCGGGGCGCATCGAAAGCTTAGTAATATCTGTGCTGGGCAAGGGACTGATTGTTCACTAGCCATTCTTGGACTAGTAGGCGAGGAAGATTCGCTAGCCCAATATCGATTAGCGCAGACCCATCAGCGATCATCGATATCGGCAAGTCAACGGCGAGGACTGAACGAGATGGGGTCCAACCAAGTTACTTGTGTATGTTCAACTACTAAGCTCGGCATACAAGAAAAAGCTTACTATTTACTGCGCTGGCAACTATGTTCATCGCTATATGGCATGACTCCACAGCCGCCACCCTTTCTCGTGGCAGCCGTTGCCACAGCCTCTAGCCTCTTCAGCATGGAGCTATCATTCCTCAGCAGACATAAGGCTGCCATTCCCTCTGATCCCCAAACGAAAAAAAAACCGAATTGCATTCGAGGACGGCAGCGACCAGCGATCTACTATCATTACCAGTGCACATTTTGTACACAGTCTTTCGAAAAGAAACATAATTGGGCCGGGCACGAGAAAAGCATCCATCTCCTTCTTGACTCCTGGGTCTGCACACCAAATCTCAACGATGTCCAACATATATTTGACCTCCAGCTTTCTGAATGCCCCTTCTGTGACGTGCTGTTCCCAGCGCCCTCCCAGGGAAGAGCATGAATTCCAAGTCTGTGCCGATAAGCCTGTTCAAGGGCGTTCATTTAGTTGGAAGAATTATCTGTGGCAGCATCTGCACAAAGTCCACAGTTGCACAAAAGCCCTCGTTACTGACCTCGAAACCTGGCGCGGATCGGGCACCGACGTTGAAAGCTGCTGTGGATTCTGTGGTTGTTCACTGTCTACCTGGTCAGCTCGGGCGGAGCATCTAGCGGATCATTTTAAGAAAGGATTTCGGATGAATCAATGGGAAGGTGACTGAGGGTTGGATGCATCAGCCTTGAGTGCTTTGCGCAACGCGGTTTTGCCATCCCAGCGGGCTATCGTCAAGATGTCTGCTTAGCGTTTATCAGAAGATACGAATTATGAAATAATGATCACATAGCACATGCCATTGAAAATTCTCATACCGCGCCGATCGTTAACGAAGCTACATGCTCAAGCCGCCCTACCCTAGTAAGCCGTAGTCTGCCATTCGCGATTGTACCAAGTCCCCATGCCTAACATAAAGAGTAGGAGGCTACCATCCCTCACAACATCTCTGAAAAGCTGCACTACAATACCCATACCACCAGACTTCCCACCAAGCAGCGCCTTACCCCCAGCCAACATCAACTCTCCCGTAACAAAGATTGCAAAGGGATTCTGTGCTGTCGCAGGCTTTGGCGGGGGACTACCGAACAACGCGACCGAAGCCCCAATAATGAACAGCAGGTAGACAGCAACTGCCAAAGCAAAGACGGTGTGCAGCGTCTTCCAAGTCTGAGCGCGCTTCTGTTCCGCCTCTGTTGGAGGCGTCGCTCCACCCAGCATATTGGCGAGGAAAGGCGGCACGCCAAGCATTGATGCGATAGCAGCAAGCGAAAATCCAGGTACGGGTTGGTTGCCTGTAGGTGCTCCTGGTGGAGCATTAGGGTCACCCCCTGGTATAGCACCCATGAGAGAGTTCAAGAGTTTGATGGTAGGGTCTTCGGCGTCGCCGGGCGACTGGCCCTGTCCTTGATCCTGTGCGGATTGTCGCAGCATCGCGCGGAAGGCTTCTTGCTGGGCCTGGAGGCCGTTTGGCGCTTGTGGGTCGGGATGCACGCCCTGGCCAGGTTCCGGTGCGGCTTGTCGGAGCATCGAGAAGAACGCTTCCTGCTGGGCGCGGATCGCTTCTGGTGACTGCATGTCTGGTTGAGGCGCGGCTGGGGGGAGGAACTGGGGGTTTTGCGGTGCTGGAGATGGGGATGCGGAGATTGCACGCGCAGGTTGAGGAGATGGGGAGGCTTCTTCGCGTTCTGTCATTGACTTCAGTTAGCATTGTCTGTACTGGTGTCTATACTGGCATGGCCGATGTGGCATGACTGTTTTGCAATCGGGAGCTCCTTGACCTAGAGCCGGGGATGAGATTTTTATTCCTTACCGGTTTGTGGCGTGCGTCCACTGAGACTGGTGATTTTATCCAGGCGCGCTGAGCCTCCTTCCTTGATCTTTGCCTCGCGGCGCTCGCGGCGCAATCGGGCGGATCGCTGTGCAGGTGATTCGTCTGCCATCGTTGTTTGATCTTCGTGAGAATGAATCACAATTGCTGGAAATTGATAAAAAAGAACGAGATGGTGTGCTAGGTAGTAGAGACTATCAGTGAGATGTCGTCTAGCGAAGGTGGCCGATCTGAACGTTGCCGATCGGCCTGTAGTCCCGTGGCAACAAAGAACACCAGCCACAACACTTCGTCACTAGAATCAACGACAACGCCTGGCTGTCTCTATTCAAAGCACTCATTTTGCCAATTAATGTTTTTTTTCATGCTGTATTCAGCTACATATATTTCAGGATCACTCCACCAGAGTATCAGGTTGATAGTCACACAAAATCAAGCATGCACAGGGTGCTTTGCTGGATGATGGTAGTGTCTTTCGGCTTGAATCCTAATGAAGTCCATGAGAAACATAACAACATTATATGAGTTTGTTATTATTACTTTATTTATATACCGATGTCGATGTTTAATAACAAGAGTCCCGCACAAGCTGAGTAAACACCTTCAGAAACTGTTGAAGACTCAACTTCGACCCATTCCTCCTTGGCGTGAAGACCCTCTCCTGTAGGGCCATACACAATGGATGAAATACCAGCATCGCCGAGCAAGGCCGCATCAGTCCAAAATGGACCCGCCTTGACATCAGGCTTGGTCTCCAGCACAGGAGAGGCACAAGCAATCGCCTTCTGCATATTTAAAACCAACCTTCTGCTCGGCGATTGCTTTCAGCAGCGCGCTGATGTCTCCTAGGATGGACTCTTCCGTTTTGGCTGGGACGATGCGATATTCGACTGTGATAGTGCACTTTGTTGGATAGGACGAAGGCTCTTCGCCACCCGTAATAAAGCCACAGTGTAGCGAACCATGACCCAGGAAATCGTCAACAGGTAGCTGGGATTGATACTTCTCCAAAGCTTGTAGGAAGGATCCGGCAAACATAATCGCATCTTCTACTGATGCAGGGTCAAACCCGTGTGCAGCAACCCCCAAAATATCAACCTCCACCCACAGAAATCCTTTGTGGGCGGCAAGTATCGCGCCGTGGATTGGCCCAGGAAGTACTGCGGCATCAGCACTCCAGCCAGCTTCAATGTCATCCTGACTTCCCTGCGAGGCATCCTCTTCGTCTGATACTGCAGCCACAAAGACATCACCCCGAGGAATGCGGCCGCTAGCTTTTGTTGCTGCAAGGGCCGCTAACCAGACAGCCAAGCCCCCCTTCATGTCGAGACAACCCCGGCCAAAGATAGCCTCTTTGCCATTCTTGGTTCCAAACAACCCGTACAGAGGCTCTGCCTCGTAGCTGGAGAGACTAACAGTGTCTGTGTGGCCGTTGAACATGAGCGACTTGCCATCTCCACTCCCTCTCAAGACACCCACAATGGATGGTCATCCAGCGACCTTCTCAATCCAGTGATGCTCGATGTCTCGATGGGAGAACCAGGCGGCCAGATCGTTTATGATTTCGGTCCCGCCCACTCCGTCTGTTACAGACAAAGTCGGGTTGGAAGAGTTGATTTGAGTGAGAGTTTGACTTGAGCCCACGGCATCGTCAACAGAGACGTCTTTTGGAACTGGATAGTCGCGCACGCCTTCAGTGTTGAGAAGAATAACCACGGAATTCATGCTCAGAGGTGACGTAGCTTCCTTTGATACAGCTAATTGTCGCAGTGCAGCCAATGATGCACCTCCACATGGCCCAGCTGCCACAGATTTAAAAGTCAGATACTGCACGGCACAGTGGATCTCATATGATGAGACGCTGCAAATCAGGCCAGGCAGCAGAAGATACTGTGCCACAATCCTTACCATTCATGATAGTGGATGACGTCTGAACAGTAACCGGCTTTCCAGCAGCCACGCTAGAAGATAGACATGCAGCCGTGTCAGGCTCGACAGAGACTACAGATATCGACGTGCTATGCGACTTGCAACGCTTCGTGACCGCATGTACGAAGCTGCCCACACCAGCGGGGGTGATCATCAGACTACCCGCCAGACCAAGTTGCGCAAGTTCATTCTGGACTTCATGCATCGTGGTAGAGTATCCCTCCACGATCCACGTAGGGACATCTTCATACCCCTCGAACGCCGTATTCCGAATGAGAAGTACACCCCTGTCCCACATGCGTCTCATTCATAGCCTCCGGTACAGCCTGATCGTAATCGCCCTGAACAATAGCCAACTGAGCCCCTTCCACGGCGATAATATCCCGAGTCCGATGGTTCAAAGACCGAGGAACAAGGATCCGTGCCTCGATGCCGAGGAGACGAGCCATAAACGCAACTGCCCGTCCATGGTTTTCCATCGAGGCTGTCTTCAAAACAAAAGAGGCTTCTTTTGCTCGGCTTAGGATTTTATTGAGCGAGACCGTAAATGGCAGGCCCAGTTGTGCTGCACTCGCATCTAGTTGTTCTGGGTACAATGCAGAAATCACCTATTGCCTGTATCCATTAGCCTCTACCCTGAGTTGATCGCAGTGAACACCGGCTTCAAGAGGGGTCTGCAGATCCAGAGCACTACAACTGCCAGGTTTGAAAATGTCCAAAAAAAAACCAGAGGGACTTGAATAATCCTGGGGACAGCAATTTTCTACCGGGTGATAGATCACACCATCCCGGCAAGGGACAAAGATCATCGCAGAGTGACAGTGCTTGCTAGGATAAACAGCGTCATGACCCGCACCACTAGTCATAGGCATCGATCTCCCACAATCAACCAGTTGATACGCCACGCAATTATTGTCGAACTTGACAGCCGGCGAATCCGTATTTCTATATTTAGTCAAAAGACACCCTTCCCATCTAACAATGCAATAGTCTCAAACGCCTTGCGGCATTCGTCCTACATAGCGTGTACTACGCTATCCTGCGGGTATCGGAGATCGAGAGTGAAAGTCACTTGCGATGAGACAGTCTTCGTAGACGCGTTCGATAGAACTCTAGTAATACCAGTCGAGGCCAATGCATCATATCGCTTAGCAACGTCATACGAAGCGGCAATCATCTTGGAAAATGCAAGCCATGGATCCTGACGGGCACTCAAAGATGTTCTTCCGGTGTGAGCATCTTTCCCGTGGACGGTTTTAGTCCACTGTCTGCATTTCTGGGCACACTGAACGACACTGATTGATCAGTTGTTCCCTGGGAGAATTGGGTCCTATCCAATCTGTAACTCAAAATGGGCTCTGAGAGCGTATCCAGTTGCTGGGTCGCTGGAACAAGCAATGTGATCCAAGCATCCGTGTCTTTGAAGCTCGGAGTGGAGAGTCCCACTGGGACTGAGAATGCCACGCAGGCCCCAAACTTTTTGAATTGGGATGGCACCGGCCCAGACACCCAAGGAACACATCTATTTGGGCAACCGGGCACTTTCATCGCTGTAGATTTGATATTAATGATAACTCCACAAAGGGCATGATGGAACAAATTTTGACGCTTACTTACCCCAGTTAACCACTCCGACATCATAGTCTGGAACTCACATTTCTTCTCAGGCTCTGGACTTCAGTGGCAGACTATCAACGAATAGAGGCGTCATCATCATTGAGAGTTAGATCAACCATGCCTGTGTCTGTTGGGTTTCTGCCATGTCGTTGGAATGCATTCAACGGTCGAATGGAAATTAGTACATACTCGCCTTTGCGATGCTCAGTACCCCATTCACATGTCTCATGCAGCGTATCTCATAATCGCTGCGAGTTGACCTTGAGACCTAATGGGGCTTGCAGTCGGGGGGCCGTAAAGAACCCACCGGGCATTGGAATGAAGGGCGCGTGTTGCGCGTTTTGTGCCGTATATTTTGTGGATAAAGCGACACTGGTCCAACAGCTTGTCGATTTCAATAAATTCGATAGAAGTTCACGCATACAGCATAAGTTGGAGATTTAGAAATCAAAGGGGATTTTTTTTAGGGTTAACATTCGTCTTTGAAAGGTCCGAGACAGTCGCCACTCTGTGACTGACAGCGCCTTCTCAGAACAGGTGTGAATATAGTCGCAGCAATGATCAAATGTGCTCACCGGATGACTAGATGCTTGAATATACGGTCGGCAATGACTACAAGGACCGGAGATTATCGGTTCCAAGGTCAACGGCTCATCGCGGAGCCGCCTATACCATCTCCCCAAAACTACACCCAGAAGGTCGGGAATGATATGTATCAAACGGCACACAGAGAAGCACTTATTGAAGCATTGATCAAATTTTCAACGTTGTTCCCGTCATAATCATTACTATTGTAGACTTACTGCATGGCCGGCGAGAATGTGTATAGTTACAACCACACCACTATAAACGCCATGATGATCCCTAAGTCAACATCCATTGGGTTCATCAATTGCACGTTTCAAAATGGATGAAAACTGAAAAGGCCAAAACTTTCCAACATGCGATGATAGAACCCCCTTGTTACTTGTTGTGCCGGACACATCCCTTGCTCCGGTAACACGAGCCAAGGTGCCACGCCCAGGTGCTGCTCAGGAAATAGAGGTCGGCTCACAGTTAAGCTATAGTGCGCTCTACCCCAGACCATCTTCATTTCGCAGGTCCTGAAGTTTTCGCCTGCCGTTTCCTTCTCCGCCCGATGATCCGCTCGCCCACTCCAACTATTCCAGACAGAAGATTCAACAGGGTTCGAAAATGTCTATACCGAGCCGATGCCGAGGCTAAAAGATACCGGCCCGTTACCATAATCGACATGACCGAACGAACTAAGAATAAGACGTGCAGTGCTGAAAGCAGCCGGAAAAAAATTCAGCAAGGATGTAGCGATCTAGCCGCGTTCTACCTCTTTTGGCATCGGATTTGGTTCGCAAGGGTAGCCGTATGGTATCTAGGACACCTGTGCGTTCTGAGATGGACCGGGACGGGTGTGCGGAATACTCACCAGGTTAAATTTCCAATCCTTTTCCACGGTGTGGAATTGGATTTTGCTTGGATGTTGGTTTTGTTGGGGCAAAGTACAAAAGCATGGAGTTAGTACGGCTTTTTCTCGGGTTTCTGTCACGGTCGACTGAGGGACTTGCCCCACAATTATCATCTTTGTACTGTCGTAAGTAGTACAAATGCAGCTTGATGCCCCGTCGGATCGCCCGGTGTAGCGTGTCTGGTCTTCGGTACGGGGTTTATCACGTTCTTTTTTTTTTTTTTTGGGAAACGAGTGGGAAAAGGTGGATCTTGACCACCTTTTTTTTTAAAAAAAAAAAATACAGAGCAGCCAGAGCAATGTGTTCATTTCATTCCTTTCGTCTTCCACTGATCTACATAGTGCATAGTGCAATAGTAGATATAGAGGGGAGATCCGTCAATTATGCAATGCATACGGTATACATAGTCCATCCATGACAAGACTAGATAGTTTCCACCTCACTCAAGCTAAGAGATGGGAAAAACTGCTAAATCAAGAAACTGATTTAGATTCAAGGATCATCTCTCTATGCATTTCCACCAAAGCCCCTTTGAGCCGTCGAAAAAAGAATAAGATGCATTGACTAGTCGGACCACCTAACAAACCCCCCCCCGGCTGCAAGGTACCCCTGTCCCACAATCATTTCACTCCCCACAATACAATTCCCAATTAAAGAATGATACAGAGGTGCTCCGTAAAAAATGGATCGGATTTAAATCAGATTCTAAATACAGAGCCCTCGTAACAGTGGATCTACCCGTATGGCTTAAATCTGTGAATATCAATCTCTGAGACTACCAGAGCCGTGCACATTGCCACAAGACGATTCTCTCGGATCAACCGCATGCCAGCGCCAACACAAACGGGGTTGTAGTTTCCTTCTCCCCCACATGCCCCAGAAGTCGGCGATCCGGTCTCCTCAGGAGCCTCGATGGCATACGCAATCGGGGATGGAATTCGGAATCATTTGACATCATAAGATCAAACTATGACATCTCAGAATCAAGATGACGGGGATTTCAACACAATACCATCGGTCTGCATTAAGGTATGTACGCAGTCGAAGTTGCCGAGTATTCAAATACGGCATACGAAGTTAAAAGGCCAAAGTTAGCTGATACACTTTTGGGGCTCGATCCGCTGGTATCTTGGAATGTCACTTGCACGTCACCTGTGGCCCGTGACTATCCCCAGACCTTGGCCCTTGGCTAAGCCATGGTCCCCGCCTATTGGACTCGGGGCAAAGGGTTCGATACGAGAACACCTAGGCCGTGATCAGTTGAACTAGCGTATCTTCCCGACTTCAATTGCCCCATTGATGTGGCGGGTATATTCTTAGTCAAAATCTTTTAGAGGGGCAAGCTTACCCCGGAGCAACGGAAGGGGCCTTCCAACCCCCGCATGGCCGAACCCAAACTGACATACTGATGTGATAATTGCAATCAAATGATTTCAATAGTGAATTGGGGGGGGAGGAGGAGGAAGGGGGAGGAAGGGGGGGGGTGTAGTGGGCATAGGATTTCATTGACTCCTGATTTGGAGATCGAAATGGATGATCCAGTTGACTGTACAGTGTATATGTGAGGCCGTCTGCGGCTATATAACATATAGATGTACAACATAAGAGTCATAGAGTGGTATTTGGGGTATTACATGGTAAAGGATGCACGGACCATTTCCTAATATGGAACAGGGAAGAAAAGGGAAGTGGCACATCCTCTCGGGAAAGCTGGACTACTAATATTTTGAATCCGCTCTGGGTTCTCCTTTTTTCTTTTTTTTTCTTCTCGCATTGCTATAGTCCTGATCATAATTCCCTTCTAACTTATAACCGACTCTCAGAGTAAGTTCATTTCCGACCCATCGCCGGTTATGAAGAGCTTCCACTTTGCTCGCTTTTTCCCATTCCGGACCTTTCGCAATTCATTTCCTCTGACATCTGATCTCGTGCAGAATTCATCATCTAATTCATTTCTGCATCCATTCCTCCCATTGGACTCCGCGATCATGTCGGACGGCCCCATTCAGCCTCTCAAGCCTATAGTGGTAAGAATCACCTTGTGACCGGGAGGACCAGACCTATGTAGCTCCGGTGAACACATTTTCATGAGCTGACATGGGGTGATATAGGTGCATGAAGCACACGAGGTCGACACTTTCCACGTCCCGAAGGCGTTCCACGATAAGCACCCCACCGGCACTCATCTCAAGGACATCGACGAGTACAAGAAGCTCTACGAAGAATCAATTAAGAGCCCCGACACTTTCTGGGCCCGTATGGCCCGCGAGCTGCTCACATTCGACAAGGACTTTGAAACCACACATCACGGTTCGTTCGAGAACGGTGACAATGCCTGGTTCGTCGAGGGTCGGTTGAACGCGTCATTCAACTGTGTCGATCGTCATGCCCTCAAGAACCCAGATAAGGTTGCCATAATTTATGAAGCCGATGAGCCCAACGAGGGCCGTAAGATCACCTACGGAGAGCTGATGCGCGAGGTGTCCCGGGTTGCCTGGACTCTGAAGGAGCGGGGTGTCAAGAAGGGCGACACCGTCGCCATCTACCTGCCTATGATTCCCGAGGCCGTGATCGCTTTCCTGGCTTGCTCGCGTATTGGTGCTGTACACTCAGTTGTCTTTGCTGGTTTCTCTTCCGACTCCCTCCGGGACCGTGTCCTGGACGCCTCCTCCAAGGTCGTTATTACCTCCGACGAAGGCAAGCGTGGGGGCAAGGTCATCGGGACTAAGAAGATTGTGGATGAGGCCATGAAGCAGTGCCCCGATGTGCACACCGTGCTGGTGTTCAAGCGCACCGGTGCCGAGGTGCCCTGGACCGCCGGCCGTGACATCTGGTGGCACGAGGAGGTCGAGAAGTACCCCAACTACCTCGCCCCTGAGCCGGTCAGCTCCGAGGACCCTCTCTTCCTGCTGTACACTTCCGGTTCAACCGGCAAGCCCAAGGGTGTTATGCACACCACTGCCGGCTACCTGCTCGGTGCTGCCATGACTGGAAAGTACGTGTTCGATATCCACGATGATGATCGCTACTTCTGCGGCGGTGATGTCGGTTGGATTACTGGTCACACCTATGTTGTGTACGCCCCTCTGTTGCTTGGCTGTGCCACCGTCGTGTTCGAGAGCACTCCCGCCTACCCCAACTTCTCCCGCTACTGGGATGTCATTGACAAGCACGACGTCACACAATTCTACGTTGCACCCACCGCTCTGCGTCTGCTGAAGCGCGCCGGAGATGAACACATTCACCACAAGATGAGCAGTCTGCGTATTCTTGGCTCTGTTGGAGAGCCCATTGCTGCAGAAGTCTGGAAGTGGTACTTTGAGTCGGTCGGCAAGGAGGAAGCTCACATCTGCGACGTTTGTTCCCCCCCCCTTATTCTTGGCCCATTTGGAATGCCCTCTAATCTTTGGATATGTAGACATAC